CGCAGAGCTCGGTGCGCGCTCTGCAGAGCGCAGTTCTTGCGTCACACATTCCCACGCATCGCTGAGTCTCGGAGCGAAGAGGCTCGGCCGTATAAAATATCCGCAGAATAGGCAAGAAAGAAAGCGGCACCACAGCCGCCTCCTCCTCTGATGTCTGACTCACGACGTTAGCGGCGGCAGCAGCGAACGCGCAGAAAAGCCGCACGCTCACTTCACAAAACACAAACGGAACAAGAAACTGAAAGCAGGCGGCAAGTCGCCAGACGGCCGCGTAGAGAGCGCAGACTTAAGAGAGGAAGCAACTCGAGCCACGGGGGGCGTTTGCCAGCATTAATGGCAGACGCATCTTGGGTGGATTGGTCGCTAGTGCGCAAGCGTGTGTTGCCGGGCGGCGAGGAGGATGGGAGGCGAAGAGGTTGATAAAAGATTGGAGTCACTTGCAGAAGATTGACAATTTTTTTTTTGTAGTTCTAGTTTGTTTTGCAAACGCGCCCTGTAAACCACGTGACCTAGATCAAGCAGTTGTAAACACTCTCAAATATAGGCACACTGTTGCTGCGGCACGGCCGGCGGCTAGCAGACTTTTTGTGCTGCCAAAGTGCTTTGCCCGAAGAGAGAGATGAGCTTGGTGGAGAAGCGTTCACGCTTCGAAGATTTGTGGTTCTCGTTCGGTCGTGTTTGTGTGTGGCGATTTCCTCTTTGAGAAAAATAAATAAGGAGAATAGATGGCGTGTTTGCGCGCTTTTATGTCTTGTGGTTTAAACCGTTCAGGAAACGTGTTTTTAAACTTTCGTCTTCTCTTTTTGGACTTTTGAAGTTTGTTTTGGGGGTCCTAGGGCGAGGTAGACTGGCTGCGTGCTTAGATTTCTGACCAAAAGCAAAAAATTAATCATCATTTTTAACCTGCCTGTGGCGTGTATACTCGTTGTCAACACCTGGGCGAGATCTGTTGCTGACAAAGCGGACACTAAACTATTTCAAGGTCAAACTTAGCATTTCGGCAATTCTTAAAAAGAAAAATGAGCTTACTGCTATAACCAGAGTACGCAGAAAGAGGAGGAGGAGGGGTGGGTCCCCCTTTCTCGCTTTACACGATCAAACCAGTCAAACCCACAGCTAGACAATCCCCCCCCCCCCCCCCCCCCCCCCCCGGAAATAAATTTGGACTACGCACAAATGTCACGAACTTTGATACTCGGACAATTCTTCTTGATTCCTTATGTATTTTTTACACCCCGGTGGATGGGTGAATGATAGCGGCTGTTACCCTTTGTAACACTGATAACCATACGTAATCTTTTCGACAAAAACCCCGAGACTGGGACAGAAAAAGGGACGGACAAACACAAAGTCTCAAACACAGCTGAATTTTATTTGACAAGGAAGGGTGCTTATATAGGCGTCAAATCCTACACAAATCAAGAGACGAAGGAAAGAGAGGGAGAAACCTTCACAAACAAAAGAGACGAAAAAAAGAAGAAAAAAGAAAGAAGAAAACCCGTGCCACAAGCAGTACAACAAAAAACAAGCATTACAATAGAACTGAAAAGTTTATACAAAAACAAAAGCTAAGTAGAAGGACTAAAGTGCATT